TAAATCGAAACCGGACTATATATAGATTACTGGATTTGTTGGTTCGATAACAAATCTAAATTGATATGAAAACACTATTCGAAACTCAAACATTATATTAAAATTTTAAATTATTTATTTCTAATAAAAATTATAACTTCACTCAAATTTTACTCAACAACAAATACCCGCGCTTTCTAAGCGCGGGTGAAAATCTAGTTTCACTTTAAAAGGTTAGTATATGAATACATGCTAAGACTTTTAAGAGGGTTGGGTATTTTATTCGTTAAATTTGATTCCATTCGTTATTCATCTCGATTCGATCCGAAAATTTCGGATATCAGTAAACTTTCGAATCAAAGCAAATACTAAAAATTAATAACCATTAAAATCGAAGCAAATCATAAATATTAAAATTTTGGAAAGCGGATATCCGAACCGATCCGGAAATATATAAATACATATATATTTTGATTATATTAAAAAATTTAAATGTATAAAATTATTATTATAGCTTATGATTTGACTAATTATATTCACATTATTACTTATATAAAAATATTAGATAAAAAGAAGAAAAATTATGAAAATTATAAAAAAACTCTTAAGTTTTGTGTTATTATAGTTGTTAATTTAAACTTTAAAAAATTAAAATATGTAAATTCACTACTTCTTTACTTTCTATTTTATATATCATACAAAAAAATATTTTACAAAATAAATTTATATCAAAATTTTAAGATTATTTGTAACGAATGAGATATTCGTAAGTATTCATAAATATCCGCAAATATCTATTTATTTTTTTCGGATATCCGTTTTTCCGGATATTCGTATTTTTCCGAAGCAAATCAAATATCAAAATCAGATATCCATAACATACAAAGTAAATCACAAATACCTTCCAAAACCCGAATATCCGAGATGTGCCCACCCCTACTTTTAAGATTGGTCAAAACACTCTTACAATGTATATTGTATATGCCATTGATGTTTTAATCAAGAAAGATTGATCATGATAGTATTTTTTTAAAAAAAAATTATTCAGTCTGATATTGGGTATGATTTGAATCAGCATGTTTATCAAGGTTTCTTAAATTGGCTCCCTTATCTTTTAACTTAAAAAAACTAAAAAAAATAGTTTTTCTAATTAAAAGCTAAAAGACTATACACTAAAAGATTTAATTTAAGGAACATGTGATAAATACTCTCTTTGTTGCAAAAAGTATAAAGTTTTAGTTTTTTCACACATATAAAAAAACATAAAATTTTGATTAGCAATGCATCAATTATTATAGATAACAAACATTTCTATTTTTAATTAATAGAATTTTAAGAAATACAATTTAAAAAAAAAATAAAAAAATTTTCATCAAATTATACATTGAAATTGTAAAAATTATTTTTTTAAACAAATATTATTTCTAGAATGTTCATCTTTTTTAAACGGAAGAATTATGATTTTTATTAATAAACCAATTAAACAGAGAAACAGTAGCAGAGATTAAGCTGGGTAAGATGGACAATATGGATCGCATGTTTAATCCTAATTACGCATTCTTTCTTTTTTGGTGCAACTCATTCTAATATTAAATGCAAAATTAATTGCAAGTAGAATAAAACAATTTAGAAAGAAATCTTGAGGGGACTTTATTTCCTGTTATTAACAAGAAAGTTTAAGCTAACTTAAAATGTGTCCCTACATAAGATAATTGATGAAATGAGAAAGGGACAGTAGGAGAGAGTGGAGACCCCAGCGTTACAGCTGGTCTCCATATCAATCACCAGCGCGTGAATATTACATCCCAACGTAAGACGCGTGTGTAATACGTCCCAACATATGGCGCGTGTATAATACGTTGTCCAAATGAAAAAAAAATTGGGTTGTGTCAGAGAACGTGCAATGCAACCATCTTTTGTTTTTTGCTTTTAAACCAGTTTACAATCTCTCTCTCTCTAGACTCTTATCTAATCTTCTTCTTGAGTTTTCTCTTATACACAATCACGCACACAACACAGAGATCTCAAATTCGAAAGAAACTTCCTCAGATCTCTTTCTCAACATGCATACACAGTTAAAAGTACGTACGTACACGTTCGCCCTCTCTTCTCTCTCTAAAGATTAAACTTCTGATAAAAATCTTGACACATCTTTCTTCAATTATTCCCAAAGAAGCAGTAACCGTCAGTCACCTGCACAAGTTTCACTCATCTACTGATAAATGTTAATGTTCTCTATCAGAAAATCATTTTGACTTTTTCAGGTAATTTTTTTTAACAGCCATTTTCTGGGTAATTAATTAATTTTTTTTTCTCACTCAATCTAGTAATAACGTTTACTTTAAAAACAACATAAAAGGAATATTATTTGTTTCTATGTAAGATTCCCCAGCATGCAAATAAAAACATCCTTTTCTTTTTTTTTCTCTAAAAAGTTTTTACCTTTCCCTTAATTTTCTTAAAGTGTTATATTTTTTCTTGTTCCTTCTATTCTTATAAGCACGCGAGAAGAAAATAAATAACCTTTTCTACTGTTTCTACATTTAAAAGTTTGTTTTTTTTGCTCTTTACTGGTTTTGTCTCGCAGGAAACAAAGGTAAAAAAAAAATGATAGTGAAGGCAGTAGTATTATTATATACATAGGGTTAACTTGTAATAAAAACCATTGGGAACTAAAATCCAACACAAGAAACCAGAGAGACCTCTTTAACGACAACAACCTCACTATACAGAAGACAACAAACACTCTCTCTACAAAACCATCACTCTTCCTTCTTCCTCTTCTTCTTCTCTCCACTCTAATTCAAGAGAGAGAAAGCCATGGATGGGTATGAAGCAACTAGGATTGTGCTCTCTCGTATCCAAACTCTAGACCCAGAAAACGCATCAAAGATCATGGGTCTCCTCCTTCTTCAAGACCACGGTGAGAAAGAGATGATAAGGCTAGCTTTTGGTCCAGAGACTCTTGTCCACTCTGTAATAGTGAAAGCCAAGAAAGAGTTAGGTCTCATGAGACCTTCTTGGAGTCAAGAGGAGTTAATTAGCCCTAGGAATAACAACAACCGTGGCTCTTCTCTCAACCCTGCTTCTTTACCCTTCTATGCTAATGGAGCAAGATCTTCAAAAGACTTGACCAACGAGTTCGTGGATGATGTTAACCCAAGAAGTGACTTCTTGGGGTCTGTGCATGCAAGAAGTGGTAGCTGCGTTTTGGACGGTTTAGGGTATGGTGATTCTGATTTAGGGTTTGGTGGTGTACCATGTTCTTATTACGCTAGAGGCTTCTGCAAGAACGGAAGTAGCTGTAGATTTGTACACAGTGATGGAGGAGCTGAGTTAGTTGGCTCTCCAAGCAGAGTCGAGCTTCTTAGGTCTAACTCTGTACCTCCAAGACTTGCTCATCACTTCATGACTCGCTCTTTCTCTGCAAAAGGAGTAAACTCGCAGAGCAGCGATGCTCAAAGGTTAGAACCTTTGTTCAACTTTTTTTTCTTTGTTTTTTTTTTTATTTAACTTGTGTAAATTTGTGAGCAGAGCTGCTGCTGCTGCTTTGATGATGGGAGATGAATTTCAGAAGCTTGGAAGATGGAGGCCTGAGAGGATTGATCTCTCTGCTATGGCTTGTCCAGCTTCAAGACAAATCTATCTGACATTTCCTGCCGACAGTAGGTTCAGGGAGGAAGATGTGTCCAACTACTTTAGGTAATGCTTGAAGACACAATAAGTACTCAGACTGTCTTTTTACTCTGAATATATTTTCTTGTGTGACTTAAGTTGTTGTTATGGTGGGTTTAGTACTTTTGGACCAGTTCAAGATGTGAGGATACCATATCAGCAAAAGAGAATGTTTGGGTTTGTGACATTTATGTACCCTGAGACTGTCAAGAGTATTCTTGCCAAAGGGAACCCTCACTTTGTGTGTGATTCAAGGGTTCTTGTTAAGCCTTACAAGGAGAAAGGCAAAGTCCCTGACAAATACAGGTACTTAACTAGTTGTTTTAGTAGTGGTAACTCTCATACTTGAGCCTTATGTTTCCTAGAATCCTTTTGTTTACTTCACTTTTATTCTTTCTTTGTAGAACTAACCAACCAACAGAGCTAGAACTGTCCCCAACAGGCCTTGCTTCTAGCCCCAGGGATGCCATAGGTAAAAAAATAAGCACTTAAGCTCTTTGTCTTTTGGAATTTAGATGGTGAACCTTTTACCTGTGGCACAGGAGGGAGAGGGTTTTATAACAATGCCCAAGATGTGTTGTGGGAGAGTAAGTTTGAAGAAGAGATTCTTGAACTTCAGAGCAGAAGGCTAATGAACATGCAGCTTCTTGACGTCAAGAAGCATTTCCAACTCAATTCCCCTACTACACACATTCATTCCCCAAACCCTTTTAGCCAAGCGCTTGCGTCTCCACGCCCATTACCGGTTAAAGCAGGAAGAGAGATAGGGAAAGGAAGTTCCAAGGAAGGATCTGATGACGACATATTGAATCTACCAGAGAGGTAGGTTTGGTAGTAAACTAGGTATTGTTTATGTATTTTGAAGCTGTTGAAGTTGAATAGCAAGTTTTTTTTTTAATTGTTACAGATTGGAGGATAGCTTGCCGGATAGTCCATTTGCATCATCAACACATCATATGCTTCTGTTTGGTGAATCTATAGACAACAATGGGTCGGATCTGTGGTCGCCTTCTTCAGACAATGATGATAATTCTACTCCATCTACACTCTCTGACTCCAACTCTTTCAACTGCCAAATGCCTAGGTTTGGAGATACAACCATGGTTAATGCGTCTAATATCAAGTAAATGGTATCTAACATTGGTTTCATGAATCTTAACAGGTTACTACCTATTGGAATGTTACCCGGTAGGGGTGGACCGGCCTGTCGTGTCGCTATATAAACAGGTATAAAGAGTAAGATTAGTGGATGTTGACCATAACAATAATCTTGTTAGGTTAATCATTATTTTTCTTTTTTGTTGTGACAGGAAGAGGTGAGAATGAAAGAAAAACTAATAATATAGAGACCCTTAATAACCAAAGATGCAGAGGTGTAAAATATAAAGCAGGAAATTTGATGTAAGAGATAGAGAAGAGAAAGATGGAAGATTGCTTTACCATTTCTCTAGTATTAATGTGTAATGTGATGGACCACACAAGATGATGTAATATGATATGATATAAATATATAGGACAAGAAGTGTAATCTCTCTAAAGATTTACAAAAGAAAGAGATTACAATTTGTGTTTGACAAGTATGAGTAACTTTGTTCTTGTACTTACTAGTTGCTACCATCTCACTCTAACCACTCTCCAACTTGAAAAAAAATCCAGAGATATAGCCTCTTATGGGTTATATTTTCTTCAACTATAAATCTTAGGATTTGAATTGTGAAGGTAGGTTATGTGTCCTCGTTATTAAGTGTAACTTTGTGAGGTGGAAAGTGTAAAAAGAGTAGTTGATACATTCATTGCTATTGCCGTGATTTAAGAGAAAGGAAGAATGTTAGTGACATATTGCATGTAATATGTCATTAGTTCAGCTTTTCTAAATCGTTTAAAATTTAATTATAGTATTAGATTAATAAAAGTATCATTATTATATTTTTGAGATAGTGTATCTTACCGATAATGATGTTCACTAAAGTTATGAAAGATACTCAAATTAAATGAAATGTGTGATATTATGTGTATCATTAATGATTTTAGCACAGACACGGATAGTGGCGTGTGGTGGGGCATGCGAGAGAGAGAGAGACTGAGTGCCCAAATTAAATCACAGCATTACAAATATAGTACGTGACTTGCGGTCTACTTACAACTATGTCGCTTCTATTATGTGAAACTTGGAAAGAAGGTTTGCTTCAATTCTTAATACCCATTACCCACATAAAAATGAATGTGAAGGCAAAATATTCTTATAGGGTTAATAAATACACACATGTGTGATGTGATATCTGTGTATACAACCATTGTGAAGCGTCTTGCAGAGCCCGTCTCTGGAGGGAAGCCAATGAAACATTTGCTTCCGGCCGCCAAATATTATGATTTAAACCGGCCATATTTGAACCAAAAGTTTTCAGTAACAAAATTATTGGCTTAAGGTTACATATGTTACAGGTCATGAGTTTAAATTATGCACAGATCACATTTTTTTATTTTAGCTTCTACCCTCACAATTACTAGGACTGGCTATGCGTTTTACAGTTGGGTATCTGCTATGCTTAGGTGAGGAGAAACGAAGAATGCATTTATCAACAAAGAGTTAAGAAAGCATGTAACAATTGTATGATATCTTTTAAGAGCTTTGATGTTTAAGTCATAACTAAAACCATATGCTTCGTCTAAAAATGAAAGTTCAATAGGTCAATGAAAAATGTAACATGCTGCGACACTCTTGTTATACTTAAGTTCCCAGTTATTTCATTCATGGCACAAAGTCACAAAAACTTCTTCATAAAATTGTATGAAAACAAAGAGAATAAAAACAAGTTCGAACTAGAAAAAAAATAATAGGAGGAAGAAAATAATGTGATCCCACGGGCCAACACACAGGCCATGTGGCGTGGGGGAGATAATGCCAGAAGTAGTGTTTTGTGGAGACATCTCCACAAATATACTCTGTATACTGTATTTTAAAAAAAGTTTAAATACCTCTGAATTATACGATATGCGAAATGTCAATTATATGTCCCTTCCCATTTAATTAACAAGATCTTACGGATAATTCTATTTCTTGTAAAGCTCATAAAATGTATGCCATTGGCACCTGGTCAGATATTGTTGAACCGAGCAAGATCAAAGTTTCAGAAATTGAGTAATTGGGATTAGGCAGTTAAAATACACATGAAATTGAAAATATATACCAGTTACCGTTCTAAAGTCTTAATACTTATTAGCGCATTTGCTAGTTCCATAAGATGTTTGGGACCATTTATGATTTCAAAATTGAGATCATAAATGTTTACCAATTACCATTTCACAAGGAAAAAGAAGATACTTGAGCAGTACTATCACTGACTTCCGTAAAAAATAGTCAGTGACGATTAATGTGAGGAGAGCGAGAGTGATGAAATAAATGGAAACCAGTATTGGTTTCAAAGAAAGAGGCATATGCTGATTAGTACTCCCTCTATTTCATTATAAGTGTCACTCAACAGCTGTGCATACGAATTAAGGAAACAATTAATTTTACATATTTTCTATATAAAAACACAATTACCCATACACCTAACCATATTTTATCCAATAGAAAAACAAATTACATAATAAAATTAATAAATTTTGCATTGAAAACCGAAAACGACACTTATTTTGTAACGCAAAAAATTCTCTACAATGACACTTAATATGAAACGGAGGGAGTATTGTTTTATTTTTATCAACTTTGTTTTAATTCATTTTTTTTGTCGTGTTTTAAGTCATTTATATGCTGATAAAAATCAAAACCTACCCAACCCCCACCGGACGACTGAGTCAAACAATTAAAACGAAGAAGAGCTCAATAATTGATGGATCTTGAATATCGGCGCGTGAGATATAACAGCCAATTGCTGCGCGTGGATGTCTGTGAGAGTGGAAGCAACTAAAATTAAAATGATGGTGTCAGAGGGTTGAATGCAACACAACGTGCAATTACCTTTTATTGTCTTAAATTTGGGCCCATTTTGTTTTTACTGTTTTTTATTGTTTTTTGTGAATTTCTTTTCAAAGCATAGCATTTTCTACAAAAGTAGAGTAGAAAGATCTGTTCAAGTAAAAATAGCAAATAATAAGAGCGAATGGAATATGGAAGGCGACGTCATTTTACTGATTGTGTGAGCAATTGAATGATGATTGTCCTTATGTACCAATGATTCAACAACCGTAGTTACTTATTTATTTTTGGTATTGTTTCAAAAGTTAATGGTCATTGCAGATACATGCGTAAGTTTGCTATTTTAAGTATTAGTTCAATACCTCTGGTAACAATTTCATTTAACGTTAGAAAACAAGAACTTCAATCTGTGGAATAATGACATGCACAAAACCTTTTTGAATATCTTAATAAACTGACAACACTTGTCTTCTTGCTAACGTGGTGCTCTACTTACTATATAGACCAACTAATTAACTGATCTTACTTTGACCAACAAAAAATTGATTCTAACATAAAGAAAAAATGTCTGGACATTGGAAAAGAGAAAGTTCCAAATTTTGATGTTGTTGGTGAACAAGTTCCAAGGGCTTGGAGGGAGGCTATTAAAATCCCTTGCATTGTTGATGCTCATTTCGAAGCCATTTTATTTGAAGAAATTTGTTTTTGATTCTTTCTAATTGACTGACTAGTAAAGTAGCAAGTTCGACAAGTTTGATCCCAAAAGAAAAGCCCAAATTATTAAGCCGCTGGAACTTGTATGACCTATCTGATCAAGGACTTGATTCAAATATTGAATACGAAACATGTTGCAGAAAAAAAGTAAAAGCTATGTAGCACTGGAAAGAGTGAATATTCAGTTTCAGATTGCAACGTTAGAGAGAAAAAGAAAGAACACTGATGAGTAATGATGATGTGATATTCTTATTGGTACTTTGGCAATGTTGGCTTATTTTAAGAATTCTTTTGTAATAAGGAATAACTTTCGGTAAATAAAGCTTACCTTGTTCTAGGTGAACAAAACTTTTGTATTTACATGTTGCAAGGCTTTTGAATCTAGTGCCCTCCTTTGTGGGTATAATACATGTCGTACCTAGAGATGACAATTGGGCTTTCCCGTTCCGTTCCGTTCCGTATCGCAGCGGGTTCATCATCGAGCGGGTCACGGCGGGCCTGTCCCGCGCGGGCTGCAGTCTTCCGAATGGCTAACCAATCCCATACCGCATAATTTATAAGCCTTCGCGGGCCGTCCCGCGGAACGTCTCCTTCAACTTCCTTCATGAATGTTAAAGTAGAAGAGTTGAGTAAAAAAGTTGAAGAGAGCTTAACAACATTGATCGCAACAACATCCAATGTGATCACTCGCTGGTTTAATGGTCTTGAAGTAAATGAGAGCCATTTGGATAGTAAAATTTAACTCTTTCAAGAATATTCCTTATTTGATTCTTTGTAAAGCAACGTCTCTTCATAGAAACAATAACTTAATACGAATGGTTTCTTTCTCTCTTTCAACCAAACTGTTGAACTTAGAGTGTAAAGACAAGATTCTGCAGTAACCCAAACTCTCATTTTAAGCCGTTTAAAGAACAAACAGTAGCTCTTCAACAAGCAGTAACTCTTTAACAACATCATTGTAACAAAATTTAATTTTTTTTTTTTAAAACACCACTTGACAATACTGAAAACAAAACTCATCAACTTAAACAAGAAAATTCCACATAGTAATAAGGAAATTTATAGTACTGAAAACAAAACCAAACAGAAATAGGGACTTATGGTTGCGAGTCTTCAAAATCCTGCGGGTTAACCTGTCCCGCATTCGGCCCGTCCCGTTTTCAGCCCGTCCCGCATTTGGTCCATCCCATTTTGAGCCTGTCCCACGAGGCCCGCAATTTTGCGGGTTTATCAAATGAAGACCTAATCCCACTTCGCAGCAAGCCTTTACGGGTCAGACCCGCAGTGCAGGTCTTTGATTGCTATCCCTAGTCCTAAGTCTTGGTCGGTTTAACGGGTTGAATAGCTCTAGGATCTAAACAATTATGACACACCTAACTGAATTTACATTGCATAAATAATCTCCACTTTTGCATTTTTCATTTCACCCCCAAACAGAATTCAGAAGAGGCAAAATTTCCCTTTTCGAACAATATTTCTTTTGAAAACAAATGAAGACGTATAAATGCATGCGTTTTTTTTTTCTCTCAACAAAAGCAAGTCGTCGATATTTTGTATTAGTATTGTTGTCGAGTTTAAGTAATATTCAAAATCAGTAATGAAATGTGCATATGCAAGTTGTAGACGATAAAAACATTGTTTTTCCCCTCGAATCATTTGCCTTAGGATTGACATAAAATCACCGCTCTAGACGTTTTTATTGAATTATTTAGGTTATCCAGGAGCCCTGAAATCTGTCTTCCAACTTATAGGCCCATTGATAGCCCATATGTAAATAATTCAAAACAAATCTATCTATACTATTATTTGCTCTGCGAAATAATTTTTTGAAGTGATTTTTCGAGTTCTTATGTTAAAAGTTATATATGATGAGTAATATCGTTTATATCCTAATGAAATTTATATGGATAATTTATGATATAATAAAAACAAAGTTTATACTAATAATATTAGATTTGTATTTATCTTATATAATTGATTATAAATTAATATAAAAATTTGTTAAAAATAAAAACATATTTTCAAAAAATAAGATAATTATTATATACATTAATTGTGTTGTTATATGGAAATAATAGTGTTAGCACATGATAATTATTATATATAATGTGTTATATATATAGATGATTTTTTGCTTCTGAAATAATATTATTCAATTATAAAAGTTTTTAAAATAAAATAAAAATTGATAATTAAATATTAATAAATAAAAAAAATTGTATAAAGATATTCTCTAACATATTTCTAATATATGAGTGTTTTTTAAAACTTAACACAACAGTAAACTGTCAAATATGAATAACTAGGCGTTTGATTTAATTTTTTTAAGAACATAATAATAAGTTATCCTCCTGGTTTTTGAATAAATAAAATATATGCTAATAAATATTTAGAAATTATGCCGAGGCAAAACACCTAGTAAGTTTATACTGAAGACAGTGGGATTCCATGAGGTGATTGGATCAATGCCGTGGCAAAAAGTGGTTGAAGCTTTATATCAGTGAGAAGAAGTGGTTTTGGTCATAACTCATAATCTTATGGACTCTCTGATATTATTCTTCCTGATTCGAATCTTTACATCAGTGAAGTAGACAAGAGCCCTACCATTGACCTGGAACTGATCAGTGATCTAGAAAAGGGCTTACTTAGTACTGATCATCCAAAATATAGGAAGAGGCTTGGGAAGCCAAGCCTAGTTGTGGAAACGAGAAAGCAAATGATAGTTTTTGGGGATGTTCTTTTATTGTTTTCATGTACTTCAAAGGTAGGGTTTATGTTTCTCTTCCAAAACAAACTATGTAATGTATATACTCCACACAACACAAGTACCCTTCCTCTGTTTTGTCCTCGGGGCTGAAATATGATAATGTTTATTTCTCAAGAGGTTATAATCACATTTTACCTAATCTCTTCGGACTTCAAAAAGAAAGGCATATACACATGAATACACTTACGTTTTGGCTACATGCATCCCTTCAAAGCTTTCTCATCTCATTTATATATTGAAAACTGAGGAATTCTGCTTTTTGCTAATAAACAAAGCTTGCTATCTTCACTTTCAAAACATTAGGTTGGTTGGTCCATTGTGTGGGTGCATCTTCTGATTAAAATAATAAAAACATAAATTGGACATGGTTAAAGCATGACGGTGATGGAAAAAATTGCATAAAATCTTGTTTTGATAATTGGACGGCGATCAAAGCTCAAAAAGTAGGCTCAAACCAATATTATTGTCCAACGCAGAAGCCATCATCCCATTGCTACAGTTTCAATACAAAGCAAGGGCAACCCCGAAGCATGGATACTTTACTTTATTGTATTATCATTAGGACCAAAAATAGTTGGTAGAAGTCACACATGTTAGTTAACAAAGTAAGAATCCATCATGTTCTCATAGAATATAAGTACTTACATTAAGCAGATGTTTCTATTGATTGTAGGAGACATAATAAGACTATCAAAACGAATCAATATCATTTATACCCTCTTGACTTTACAAAACGAATTAACAAATTACAAATATAAAACCAAATACGTATATGAAAACCCACAAAAAAATTAATACCAAAATAGAATTATATCTTTCTACTCAAACCTGCTGCATCAACAATGTCTTAAAACTTGTTCTCTTCTTTTCTTCTTCTAACTTCTCTTGTTTTGGCACCCACCAAACCCTAATGCTCTTATCAAGACCTCCACTGTAAAGCATGAATCCGCCACCCACATTATTAGGAGAACCTTGCAAACATTTCACCGGACCTTCATGCCCTTCTATGACTCCAAACTTACAAAGCTTACCACTCACTTCACTTTTCCACAGTCCAATACTCTTATCAGCAGACCCACTACACACCATCTCCCCAACCAAACACATACACAAAACCGCCATCTTATGTCCCCTCATCTCAAACCCTAACTCCCACTCCTCAACATCTCCTCCTTCCACCCTCTTCTCCCACCCCATCACAAACCCATCTGACCCTCCTCCGTATACCCACTTCCCGTCCCCGGAAACCACCACTGCGTTCACCGAAACCTCCCCACGTCTCTCCAAAGTCGCCTTCAGAACATGTGAACAAGAATGAGAAGTCTCTTTCCCCCAAATCTTGATCTTCCCATCAGCAGAAGCCGAGTAAACTCTACCTTCTCCGGCAACAACACCGTTGATAGCATCATCATGCGCCTTGATAGACTCAAGACACTTTAAATCCGACAATCTCCAAACCTTGAGAGTCTTATCCCAAGACCCCGAGTATATTATCCCAGCGTGCACCGCAAGGCACGAGATACTATCCGCGTGTTCGATCCATAGCCTCTTATGGTTCCTCCTCGTCTGAACGTAGTTACTCTGTCTCATGAACTTCCCTAAGTAATCTTTCGTCGTCGGGAGCGTGTCCACGAGGCGGAAAGCGTTCTCTGAGGTTCTCCTACGAGACACTTTCCACACTCTGATCCTGCTGTCTTGATGAGCGGTGAAGACTTTGCTCCCCACGCTGACCAGTGCCTTCACGGACCCGTCTCCTTGTCCGAACCTCGCGAAGATCTTGAGATCCGGCTGTTGCCAGACGATGATGTCTTTCCCCTGGGAGGCGCTGAGGAGAAACTCTCCGCAGAGGGCTAAGGAGGAGACGGAGCCGACGTGTGCGGAGAGGACGGCGAGGGGTTTGTATGTGGAGGTGGTGATGAGGGGAGGGAGAGTGGTGAGGGTGAAGCTTTTTGAGGAGGAGGATGGGCTTAGAGATTCGTCTGAGGAGTCGCTTGTGGTTGTGGAGGAGGAAGAAGATGGAGACGTCATGGAGACTCTTTCTTGGATTGATCTCACCATTGCATCAAGAGAGATTCAAGATTTGTTGTTCTTTTTTTTCTTTTTGGTACAGAGAGAAGCTAAAAGTGGAGCGTTTGAGGAAAGGTTGAAAGAGTGCTTAAAAAGGGGTTACAAGAAGGTGAAAGTACAACGGCTACATGACAGATGGCGTGACCTCCTTTTTCGCCTTTTTGTTTTATTTATTCTTTTTAAAATAGAGAATGATAGTTGTCAAAAAAAAAAAAAAAAATAGAGCATGATATGATAATTTATTGATTTTCAATTCGTGTTATTGTTGGCTCATGGAATCTTTATAATAGTTGTAATCAACCAATGTAACGCGAGTCTATAAAATAACGGACTGATCGTTGCTTGTTTGACCAGTGAAATATTAGTTTGATGATGTGGAAATTGTGCATATTGTATTTGTAACGTTAAGAATTATGTTAATTAAGATAAAATGTTGTACATCTAAAAATTATTACCGACTAAATGCGAGTAAGTTGGTAGTAATCAGAAGACCTCGACATCACTTAGTTGCTAGTTTTTTATAAGAGCATCTCCAATGTAATACTTCATATCTTATATATTAAAACAGAAGTCATGATTTGATTTCATGTGTGATTTTAAAAAAAATGGACTGTTACTAGAAAGTTATGTTACATTAACTCTCTAATAATATTATCATTATTTTATCTTATAATATGCTTAACAATTTTGTTTTGGTAAATTACCCCACACCTTCCAACTTAGTCACGCAAAATATGTCAATAGATATAAATTTAGGAATTTTCTATTATTTATAAGGAAATATGTCAATAATAGTTAAATGCATCCAGAATATATTAACAAAAATCACAGATTATTAATATGTAATATGTATATACCTTAACAAAATTTACACGTTATATATATTAGATAAATTTATTTCGATGTAAAATTTTAAAATTGTTGTTTAAAAAAAAGAAATTGTTTAAAAAGTTCCTTTTTAATAAACTTTTTATAATATTAATTTATGAAGCTATAAGTTTAGTTTTTAGCAAAAAATTCTTCGAAGTTTATATTATCTTTTCAAATTAAATTACACTAATATTTAATCAAGCTCTATTTATATTACTTTATCTAAAAATGAAATACTAATCTAACAAACAATAAAATATAGATGAAGAAACAAACACATGTTTGAAAGTCATGTATAATATAGAAAATTTGAAACAATCTATTTGATTAAAACACTTATTATATAATATTATTATGTTTGAAAAACATTTACTATACATATCGTAAATATGTGATTACTATAATATATACCAATTTACAAGTGAAAACAAAATGTTTATATAACTATAAACGAAAACAAACANATAATATAGAAAATTTGAAACAATCTATTTGATTAAAACACTTATTATATAATATTATTATGTTTGAAAAACATTTACTATACATATCGTAAATATGTGATTACTATAATATATACCAATTTACAAGTGAAAACAAAATGTTTATATAACTATAAACGAAAACAAACACCCGCGCGGTTGCGCGGGTCAAAATCTAGTTCTATTCTAAAATAGAATAAACGTGATTATGGAGTAAAAAATACTCCAATCTTATTATATTTCTAACTCTATAAATAAAAAAATAGATTACTCCATTTATAAAATAAATTTTATTATAAAGTGAAAAATAGAGTGAAATTAAAGTATTTTTTATTTCATAATCATTTTTATTTCATTTGAAGTAGAATATAGAGTTATGTTGGAGATGGCTTAACATAACATAACTACAAGTTAATATTTCTCTTTTAGAATGAACTTAATTTTCTTTACAATTTATTTGATAGATTGGATCAATGGAGTATCGATTTGATGATTACTTTTATTGTCCCTTTATGTTTGGGTTTTCCCCCTTCTTTGTCTATGTAACATGTATGATGTTATTATTCGTGGGAGAAGACAAAATTTTCAGGGAGCTCTGGCATTTTACACGACGATCAAGACATATGGGCTCGAAAAGTTACCATAAACTAGTGTGATGAAATGGAACATTTAGTTTATAAACAATTAAAAATAGCTTAGAAAGTAAATATAATGTAAAGATTTGGGGGGGAACAAATGTGATATTCTCCAACTAGCTAAAGCGGAGTGGGAGTGTAAGTTCACGTGCTCCAATTATGAATCACTTATCATATCTACCAAATCAAACATTCCCTTGTTCTTTCTTGATTTGTTGAGTTGTCTGTATTTGGTAATTACTATTACAACATAATAGATCTAAATCAAGTCATGGATCTATATACCAAAACGGCAATGCCCACTTGTTGGTTATTTGAACTGATCACTGTTCTGATTTGTATTAGAAAAGCAAGTCTTAGTCTTTAGGGACTTGTTATATTTGAATAAGCGAAATCTCGTACTATTTCCCGCTGGTTCAGTTGTTGATGTAAGGCTGTATTCTTCTTCGGAGCACTAGCCATTTTGTTCTCCACGAGCCAATTCTGAAAACCCCGGTCTTTCAAAAAGCATGAGACTGATATCAAAATCACTCTCAAAACTTCTATCATAGATCATAGTTCAAAACCTTAGCTATAAAGTAGCATTCATTGTTACAAAGACTTTTTGGTTTGAATACAATTTCGCATTCAATTCAAAAAAGTTATTAATAAAGTTATTTCTTTCAATCAAGTTTTTACGTTTGGTATCAGAGCATGTGAAAGAGAACAAATAAGTTTCAAATAGAGCTTAATCTTTTTCTTTTTGCAAAGAATGTGAATATCATTATTAGCTTGAATCTTGTTCTGCTTTGAAAGCTCGATGGTTTCTGAGTGTCCAAAATAAATTAAAATAGTTAGAAAGCTGACAGAGGCCTAATTTTTTGATATTTTTAATGTATTGGTAAAAACACTTAGGAAACATTTAATTTGTTGATATTACTATGTAATACATGTTTAATTTTTGTTTATATTTTTGATAGATCGGATCAATGGAGCCTGATCGATTTGATGCTAACTTGTATTGTCACTTTCTGTTTGGTCTTTCCCCTGCTTTGTCTATGTAACATGCATGAAGTTATTATTCGTGGGAGAAGACAGAATTTTCAGGGAATTCTGCTATTTATCACGGAAATCAAGACAGGCTCTAAAATGAAACATAAACTAGTGTGAGAAAATGAAACTTTTAGTTAGCAATAATTATAAAGCAGTCGCAAAAGTAAATAAAAGGTAAAGATTTGGGGAAACAAATGACACATATCTGCAGCTAGCTAAAGGCTAAAGCAGACTGGGAGTGTAGGTTCACGTGACTCCAATAATAAATCAGATTTTATCTGCCAAATCAAACATTCCCTTGTTCTTTCTTGATTTGATGAGTTGTCCTTATTTGGTAAAGTACTATTACAAGAGAACAGATCTAAATCAAGACATGGATCTAGATACCAAAATGGCAATGTCGACTCACAACCATTACGGATATATTTACAACCACAATTCACTTTTTAGTCAGTTTTACAAAAAAAAAAAAGTTTGATTGTTAGAGGAGCATTTAGGCAATTATCTGATATGTTTCATACATCACTTATTGTTTTAGGTTCAGCCCATACTCGAATTCAGAATTCAATTAATGGATTCTGCTATTAGTGGTGATCTTTCGTACTTCAGATTTCTAACATGTTTTCTTAACCTTTTGGCTCAATCATCTGGAATACAATCCTGCATTGGGTTGTCACATGTTTGTTTTATTAAGCTAAATATTAACATGCCCGAAATTATAAGTTTGTAATTTAAAAACAACTGGAAGAGATTACATTAACCAATGTATCGTTCCTGTATATAGTAGTAGTCACATTTCAATTACCATATAGGATTTTTTGCCCTTATTATACCTCATTTAAAATCCAACTATTGTGAAAAAGGCATATATAACCAATGCCATTGGCCATAGTAACAAGACATCTTTATAACTTTTCAAACTTTTTAATCTAACAAGTAACAACGCTAGTAATACTTGTACGTTTTCGAAATGGGATCACTCATTTATAACTTGAAAGAAGTTGATATGATTATAAATTTGTTGCTTTTTTTTATTAAAAAAAAAAAAGCAAAAAAGCAGTAAATTTTTTGCTTATGATTTTATTTTGTGTACCAAAATAATCATTGCTTGAAGACAATGTTTCTTGAAAATCTAATTAATCATGTCTAAATAATTTTTTTGATATGCATTATCCCTTATCACGACACCAGAAAACTAAAACGCAACTTGTTAGTAGTGTGCGACTTTTAAATACTTGACTCCTCAAACCCGAGCAATACGTCAAGAACTTAATATTCAGCCTTAAAGGCTTTAAATTTGTGTAATCAAAGGTTATTAAGGAGAAACCGTACATCATTAATTCCTAATTCAAAAACTATGATGAAAATAAGCCTTGGACGTCAGAAGTTTGAACGTTGACCCATGACTTGAAGTCGTGGCTAAGAAAAAAAATCACAAAAATAATGAAAACGCAAGGTCATTTATGTTGACTTTTGACGCGGCAATAGCCACGAGAAGTGTGAGGAGGTCATCTATCTACATAAATCCAGATGGAATGCTCTCTTTCTTCCCCATCATCAACCTTCACAAAACAAAACCAAGAAAAAAGTTCATCATCAAGAATAGCATTGACTTTTCTTTGTGATTGACTAAGATGGCGGATGCTTTCACCGATGAGCAGATCCAAGAGTTCTACGAAGCCTTCTGCCTCATCGACAAAGACTCCGATGGTCTGTCTTATTTTATTATCTTTTTGTCCTATATGTTACAAACTTTTTTTACTTAGAATCGATCATTAGTTTGATGAGTTGACTTATATATATGGTTGCGTGTGACACAGGGTTCATCACGAAGGAGAAACTAACGAAGGTGATGAAGTCTATGGGAAAGAATCCAAACGAGGAACAACTTCAAGAGATGATGAGCCACGTCGACATCTTTGGCAACGGTGGCATCACCTTTGAGGATTTCTTGTATATAATGGCTCAAAAC